TTTCCTTTATAGCTGGGCTATAACTTAGTTGGTTCTGGGAGTCTAGCTAGATGTAGGAGAATCTGCCATAGAGATTACTGAGTCAGTCAGGCTTTACTTGAGATGGATGTAATTTATCCCCCACTTCCGAAGTAGCCAATTCACAAGAAATTTGTTCTCTTTCAAAGCCTTGCAATTGAAAAATCCACTTCAAATATCAAATCATGCTAAACTTAATCAGACGAGTGGTTGCGTTGTTAGTGCCTTCACTACAGTCTACTTAAAATGACGTCTTTGGTGCTAATGGCGTTCATTTCTACCATCGGAGTATTACCTCCTTTGAAATTCCTCGTATCCAAAAACATACTTCAAATCAAATCAAATAGAACTTGGAAACATCCACGACCTGCTCACATCTTTATCAAGTCTGTTATTAACCACTGGACGTTAGCTACTGTCCTCTAATAAACCAGTTTTCCCAATTCCGATTAGACTGCAACACACTCCATAAGTTAGCTTTGTAAAAGGATACAATTAAAAATGGACGACTTAAACCACAAATCAGTCAAACACATCAATAAGCGAGTAAATGACTTGTAATGATAAAAAGTTCCACTTCAAACAGCATTATGAAGAGCATAGTAGGCTCCTTTAGCTTCTAGCAAAGCAGCCGGTGAGCCCCATTCCACAGCTCGACCTTTGTCCAACACCACAACTAGGTCACAGTTCTCCACCGTGCTCAAACGATGCGCCACCACTAGACACGTCCTCCTAGCACCACCTTCCGACTTCTTCATCGCTTCCTCCAGAGCAGCTTGAACAATGCGTTCACTCTCGGCATCCAATGCTGCCGTCGCCTCATCCAACAGCAGTAGACGTGGCTTACGCACCAGGGCCCTTGCGATTGCTATCCTCTGCTTCTGTCCCCCAGAAAGTCTAGATCCTCGTGGGCCCACACGAGTCTCATAACCCTCTGGAAGTTCCGAGATGAAGTTGTGAGCATTCGCCAACCTCGCCGCCTCAATTATTCTCTCCATCGAGATCTCCGAAGCATTGTCCTCCTCTTGAAGGTAATTCAAACCATAGGCAATATTCTCCCTGATTGTGAGATCTAGGAGATTTGGTTCCTGTGACACCACACCAAATTGTCGACGAATCCAATTAGGCGCCACATCCCGAATATTCCTACTGTCGAGGAAGATGCCTTCGTCCATCGCGTTGTGAGAATTGGAGGGGTCATAGAAGCGTTGAATCAGCTGAAGAACTGTTGACTTCCCACATCCTGATTGGCCAACCAGAGCAACGGACTTGCCGGCTGGCACAGTGAATGTGAAACCCTGAAATGAAGACATAATCACTGCGAGACCCATTACAACTCGCAGAATCAGCCATTCCTCATGTCTGACTCCATGCTCACTCCATGAACAAAATGTGAATTCACCTTTAAAACAGGAACCTGTTTCCTTGTTGGATACCTGAATTTGAGGCTTTTGAAAGCAATTTTTCCTGACAATGCGTGTTTGTCCAGATCAGGGAAATCTCCTTCATCTGGTGCCAAGTGCGGATGTCGATGAAGAACCTCGAAAATCGCCTTGGATGCTACTGAAGCCTTCTTTGCATCCGGGGCAAACGAGGCCGCGTAACCGAGATTGGAAGCAGCGAAACTTATGGCTGAGTATGATCTGAGGAAAATAAAAATTGACGTTTGAAACACCACAAATATTTATTGATGAGCTTACCGCAAAAGTTGAAGAAGATTGATGTCGCCTTTCTCAAGCAAGTAGCCTCCCAAGTAGAAAACACCAGAGAATTCAAAACTCATAAGTGAGTTCGCGATACCATTGACTAGAGCGTAACGCGCCACACCCTTCAGTATTTTTCTGGAAGGATTACAGTAATTAAACGTTTAGCTGAAAAATGAGAAAAGATATATCGCTTTGTCGATGGAAGTACGCTTTCACTTTGAAATGCATTCATTACTATTTTGTGATTAAAAATCGAACTCCTCTCACTATACAATCTACCGTCACCCACAACATATTTTGTCCATTTAAAGCCTAGAAAACAAACTTGGAGGTAACAAAATTCATCCTCCCAATTCAAACCTATTAGATGTTTTTGCCAAACTAGACATTTTGCCGAGAGGTTGCATCATTTCAGTTATAAAAAATTCCCTCGTCCTTCTAAATCCAAGTTGAGCTAATGAGTCAGTCTGATCTATTTCTGGACATTGCATCTCCAACATTCATGAGATCTCAAGTTTCGGAATAATTAAGTCATCATCCAATGTCTATCATCGGCAAATGAACTCCCCTCCAAAAGTCAATACCGGAGTAGCCGGGACAAATGAAAGAACCTCACTAGGACACAAGAAATGGTCATTCACAACTGTCGATGACAAGGCCGTTTCAACTTGAAAAGCCTTTCATTACAATTTCGTGGTTACCCCCACACTACATTTCTCGTTTCAATTTAGCAACCAGATTTTTTACACGTAAAATCTCTATCACTCTACACAGTCCCCCAATTGCTAATTGAAATAGAAGTGAGGCGAACAACTGCAAGTGATCTATAGCTCCTACTGTAAATAGCCACTCACAACTGAACAAATCACAACGGTTGATAAACCAGAAACCTCACTACCCATTACTTCGACCCCACGTAACCATCGCAACTATTTTCATCAAGTTTCAACTCACTTCTCTGACAACAGTGCCTGACTATCATATTTCTTGTTGAAGTGGTCCTCCGCCTGTAGAGCTGAGACTGTCTTCGATGCTGAGAATACTTCCTGAGCCAACGCAGCTCCCTTGACACCTTTCCGCGTCACCTCCGCACTCCAACTTTGCATCTAAACATGTGGCACAATCACACCAACTTACAATAGACACACGAAATTCGAGGAGACTGAAAATTAACCCAACATTACTCACCTCAAACATGCCCGCCAAAACCAGAACTGGGAAGTAGGCGAGAGAGAGAAGAGCGATCTGCCAACTGTAAATGAACGCAATAAGCACCGAAGTGACTATGAGAACGAAGGTCTCAAGGAGGGAGGCCAGTCGACGTCCAGTCAGATTCTGCAGAGTCGGAACGTCTGCCGCAAGCCGACCCGTCAATGCACCTGGTTGATTTTCTGCCTTGTCGAACCAACCCACTTCCTGAATTTGTCAATCAAAACAGCTGCAATGCTGAGGCGTTCGTAATGTCATGTGGTTCCCAGTTAAATAGTGCCTAGCCAACTTCTCTGAAGGAAATATTGGCCCACTCTACTTTCCTGCCCTACTTCATTTCCTTAATCCAAACTTTTACCTTTATACCTCACAAACTCGTCGGCAGACACATTATTTACCACTCAACAGGGGTTGGGGTGAGAGAGGAGATAGTGCTTTTGACCTCACCAATAGGGTGGACCTCATCGCGTAATGAATGCGTATTCAAGATTAGCCAACCTCTCACCTCTGCCTTAGCGTACAAACAACCACATCAATGGACTCCACATCATTTAACCTCCTCCTTGCACCTAAATGCAGGTTTACTTCAAATCGTTTGAGTGATATTACATCAACACGACAACGAAATCATTAGGTGAGTCAAGTCAATGAGGACTGCTCTTCAACACCAACAGATTTCAACAAACCTGCTTGAGAAATGTCTCAAAGAGAAGTTGTCGACACCGAGTTGTTAGCTTTCCTCCTGCAACACCGAATGCATAACCCTGAAGCAGTACGAAGCACAGAGATTACTACACTTCATTTGGACACTTGTATTCTCCACAAATCAAGCTAAACTTACGTTGATGGTGAAGAAAGCAAGACGGAGAACAGCCAAACCACCGTACGCTGCACTAACGACCGTTGTACGCTCACTCCTGACTGTCGAGTCGTTCAAAGTGAAAATCTAAAAGAATCGGTAATAAGCCCATCTTCAATGAGCCAATCTAAATCGACAAAGATGGAGTGCAGTGTGCCAATCAAAGAATATTTCGAATTCTAAAACTTGAGAGCGTTGAATT